ATAAAAAATGTTCGAGCGAATATTAATATTCGATATAATAATGAATTACAATCCTATACGATAAATGATTTTTTTTTACGTAAACGAAAACGAATTATTTTTAAAAATAAACGACGGAAAGAGAAAATAAATGATCGAAAAAGTTCGTTAATAAAAAAAAAATTTTTTTTGGGGAAAAAAAAAATATTACAAGAAAAAAAAATTATATAATCGAAAAAATATAACATAAAATTATACAAGGATATATAAAAACCATCAAAGAAATCATAAAGCGCGCAACTTTTTTTTTTGTCAACACAGATATCGAAAAAAAAAAAATAATGCGTCTCTTCCTGAGAGAAAATAATATATTAGTAAATAGTACTAAACTAGTAGAGTTAAAATGAAGATAAAATAAAATAAAAAAAAAGATTAGATATCAAAGCTTAAGTTGTTTTATACACAAAATTCTGCACATATTTTATATATATTACGTATTACTTAATTTTTTTTTTTTTTTTTAAACGATAATCGTGTTGTTTTGTACTTAATTGTTTATGGAAATTTCCGGTCAAGATCATTTTGTTGGTAACGACGATGATGTGCTTGATGCACTTGATGACGCAACTGGCGCAGAAACGTCATCGTCTATCACACCATCTTCCAATTCTTTTACTTCTTTTGGCCAGATACCAACCAATCTAATCACGCTTCCCCAAGCTAAATCAATGACCCATCGTGGTAGAATGCTATGCAATAAAACTTGTACTTTAGCGATAGTTCCGACAACATAACGATCGTTTGGGAAACCAACTTCGACGGCTTCAACAACAGTTCTAACGATCTCTCTTGAACTATCTTGACCGGAATGAATTTTTTGCCAAAATTCAATAACTTTTTGAATATAATCCTCCCCGTAAAGGGTTAAAGTTTGTTCGGTAATTTCGGGAGAAGCAAAAAATTTTTTAGAAATTTCCATTAAATCGGGTTGGGTTAATCTAGACTTAATTGGACCGGGTTCGATCATAGTTATATGAATTTTCCATGGTAATAATTCTACGCGTATGGTATCTAACATAGCTTCTAAAGCATGTTTTGAAGCGCTATAAGCTCCATAAAATGGAACGGTAGTTCTTCCTAATATGGAAGTCATATTTATAATTCTTGGATAAATATCTCGGTCTTTTGAAGGTTTTTTCATATTATATTTAATATTTTGTCTTAAATTTGGTAAAAGAGCTTTAATTATTTTAATCGGTCCCATAAAATTTACTTCCATGGTTTTTTCAATTTGAACGGCTGAAGTAAATTCAAATGCAAAACCCTCATTACATCCTGCATTATTAATTAAAGCAAATAATCCTTTTTCTTTGGTTTCATGTGAAACCATTCTTGCACATTGTTGAATTGATTGTTCTTTTGTTACATCAAGCAAAAATGGTCGAAATTTTGGTGCTGATTGTGCTGAATGTTGTGCAAGAAAATCTTTAAATGCCGATAATGCCGATTCGGTTAAACAACCCGCAAATACATAATATCCCCTCCTATGTAAAGCCTTTGCAATCAAATTTCCTATACCAGAATCACATCCTGTTACGAGAACGTATCTATCCGCAAATTTTTGATTTGAAGAGGGTGTAGCAAAAAAGCTACCAACATACGAAATAATTCCCATTGTGATTCTTTTGAATTGGTAGGTTTACTTTTTTTTTTTTAAAAAAAAAAAAGAAATGTTATTCGGATTTAGAGAAAGGAAAAAAAAAAGTAGTCGTTAAAAAATGAGGATTGTTATAAATGCGTTTTAAAGAAATTTTGGATGTTATGAGAAATGATGGAGATTTGATGAATTTTGTTTTTTTTTTTTCGTTAAAGAAAAAAAAAGATAAATCGTTAAATAAATAAATAAATGACTACGAAAAAGTTTAAAAATAAAGTTAATAAACAAGTTAATCAATTAGCAAAAACCATCCTAACAATGTTAGATTTGCAACATACCCGAAAAAAAGTCGTATATAGTCAGTAATGAATGATTGCAAAAGGCATTGAAAGGAGGGGTTGAATTTTCAACATAGAAAAGAAAAAATTGTTTAATCAATTTCTTTGGATATTTATGCTTGAAAAAAAAAAAAATTTTTTTTTTTTTTTGCCAACAATACAAAAATATACAAGACTAGTACATTCGCCGCGAAACACAACAATGATAGAATTAAAAAAAAAAAAAAAAAAAAAAAAAAAAATTATATATATATAACTTTATATTATATTTTGGCATGTGAAAATTGGTTGATGATTGGTTAAACAACACAACAATCCAAACAACTCGAAATTACAATAAAAAATTTTTTGAGCCCTTGCCAGGTATAGCAACAAGATCATCTGAATGAATTTATGCCAGAGCTTTGTCATACGATTCAAAAAAAGAAAACCAAAAATTGCAAGATATCAAGAATTTAAACTTGTTAGATATCAAAAATTTCGAATTCAGGGTTCAGTTTGATTGATTGAGTATTTCCTTTAAAATATCCAAGATCGACATTAAAAAAAAATTGTTGTGAAAAAAGTGAAAAAATAAAAAAAAATCCCTTCCCAATATCTAATTCAAATGATTATCGTGCTTTGACAATTAACGAATCATTTTCGCAGAAATTTTATAAAAAATGCACCTACATTAGGTCTTCACATTCGCCTAAATCAAGTATGTGTGATAAATGCGCGACAATCGATGATTAATTTTCTGTTAACTAAATTATATAACAACTAATTGAGATTGATAAATGTGGATGGGATCCCTGCTACCTTGCAGAAGTAACACTAAAACCTGCATAATGTCGATTGACGCATTATTTTGGATTATAACTACCAAGTAAAAGTGCAGGTATGTTGTGATCTAAAAATTGGAAACTTGCTTACCAATAAAGACAAATCAAATAATCATCATCCGCTTCTTTAAAGTTTTTTTATATCAGTTGTGTTATATTATAAAAGCAGGCTTTCATAAGTATAATATCTATGAAATTTCCCTTTGTGAATACGCATTAAAGACTCGTGGGCATACATTCATTACAATCACTTAAATTAATCACGAAAAAGATAATGATTGTTAAATTTTAGTAACCCGATTAAAATGAAAAACATTTCTTCATCATTTCACACGGCGAAAACCAAAGAGAAATGAAAAACCCGAAAAAAAAAACGCCAAATTGATCCTACTATTGAATAAAATTGAAGGTAGGCTGAATGGCATAGGAATAAACACCACGTTTTAAAGAATTATCATGCAGCTTTGCATCAATTTTATGCATTTGGATTGTCGATGGTTTTTTTTTGCTCCTTAATCCACGAGGAGATTGTCACCTTTTTGATTGTTCTCCATTATTTCAATCAAATATTTATTTATTTAATATAACTTTATATCTTTATAATTTGACATTTTAAATATAAAAAAATATTTGTATCAGATATCGATTTTTGACATAACATTACGATACACTACTTCTAAAAAAAAAAAAAAATCATAATAATCTATTATATATGTGAAGTCATGCAACATGTTTATTGTATTAAATAGTTTCCAATATTTATGACAAAAACAATGAGAATGAACAATGGGCTTTCATTTATGATAATTTTATATATTAGGCAAAAACTGTCAATAAAATGTCATAAATAAATGAAAATAATGATTATTCGGATGTAATTATAATTATTTTTCAAATTTGTATCGCGATGCAATGTGATGTGCAAATCATCAAGATTAACCATTAATCCGATCTTTGACAAATTTGGATGTTATTTAACTTTGGCCAAAATTAACAAAATAGCAAATGCCATATTTTTTTTATTATATTAAACAGTGAGAAATTTTTTTTTTTAAAAAATAATTCTATGTATATTCTCTATTCATGAAAGTGTTTTTCTTTCATTTTTTTTATTGTTAAATATGCATAAATAAATAAAAAATAATTATATATTAATAAAATAAGTTGATTAAATCTACATTACAATGATGAAGTATGACCATGTGAAGAAGGCCTTTGAAGTAAATTTTCCAATTGAAAAGAACTGTTGTTGCCCTCGGAAAGTATTGATTCATTATCATCACATGACGATATATAATCATCATCATCATCATCAGTTGAAGAGGCCGAACTTGTTTGACCATTGATGTATTCTTCATTTTCCTTTTGTAACGAATGATATGGCGGTATACTATTATTGGAATTAGAATTTGATGTAAATGGTTCGACATAATTCTTAAATGAACTATTTGATGGTGATTTTGATAAACTTCTTTGTAATATCGCATCTGCCCTAGATTCATATTCGTTTGGACTTGGTTCAACAAAGTCTCCTCCAAAACCTTGCTCATTTATACTTGGTATTTGGTATGCCGAAGTTAAAGTCATCGCTCTTCCACTTACACTACCGGTTCCGCTTCCACTACTAACCACATCGTCGCCTGGAAGGAAATATTCATTCAAATCTTGTAATTTGGACACAATCTCCCGATATCGATATTCTCTTGTAGGAATCTCCTCTTCAATATAACCTTGTGCTATGTCCTCGGCAAAAAATTGATAATCTTGATCTTGAGGCGTTACTTTACATGTATAACATACCGCATGAATATTATATCTTGTGGCTTCCATAGATACGATTCTATCAGGTATCGCCCACCCCGAATCATCAGGTTCACCAAAAAGGGTTGCTACTCCTTCTACATTATTTCCTCTACGCGTTGCAATACTCATTCGAAGTATTTGCTTATCTTTTGGCCCCCCGGGTATTGATATTGTTTCATCAAGAACTTCTAAGGCTTCTTGTGAATATTGGGTTTGTAATAGTCGAAGTAACGGTAAAATTAGCTCGGATCCAATGGCAACAAATTCCGCTCTTTTTATGTCAACATGAGGTAATAACATCTTAAGAATTATCATGGTTTTTAATTTATAATAAGGTAATCTATTAGATAAAAGACTCATGAGGAATAATAATGTTTGTACTTCATAATCGGGGAAGTAGTTATCTTTTATGCAAAGTATAATTTGCTTCAAAAAATCATCTTTAGAACGAAATTTTCCTTTAACAAAAGACGTTAACACTCTATTAAGGTTATGAAATTCTTGATGCTCTGCAAAATCTGACAAGTAAATAGCCCATTGCTTACACTCTTCTCGTATTGATTCATCTTCCAAAGAATGAACAAGTCTTGGAAGGTTGGCGAGAATTAGATATAAAAGTCTTCCATGGCCTGGATCAATCAATTGATCATCTCTTATGAATAATAACTTCTTTAACATTTCAAATGTTCGATGGCACGCCGTGGCAGAACAAATTCCCTTCATTAATAGAGGTTGTATTCCATAAAATTGACCATGCCATTTATGTTTTGGAAAAAAACTCCAAAACAAATCTTGATTTTCATCATCTGATAAATCAAATTTATCCAAGATTTTATCCAATATGGACAACGCTTCTAAATATTCAGGCTCATTAATTGTTTGAAGACATGCGATAGTGGCCCACAATAATTGTGGAAAAATTTCCTTTGTACCAGGCTCAAGCCAATCAACAACATGACTTAAAGTGATCAAAATTTCCAATGCGAACCCTTGGAAATCATCTGAATTATCTGAAATGGTGTTGGATAAACGTGCAAGAACATCCGCGAGCATATGTTCATTAAACACCGGATTCAAAGAACGAAAAATTTGAAATGAACGACAAGCGATGTGACGGACTGGACAAGAAGTTGCCCACTTTAATGCCATTTCACCCCACATTTGTCTAAGATCTTCCTTATTACTTTCACCATATACGACAATACCGAATATGTTAACAACGTCTTTAGACAATTTTTCCAAATCGGCAAGGCTGCTAATCGTTCGATTATGATAAGTCATGTCTTCATATTCCCATAATCGTGAACCTTCCTTTGCTTTTAATTCTATTACCAATGCGCGTGCAACCTTTACTACATCAGGATAGACACATTTACTAAGTATAACGGAATGAATTAGATTTATTAGTAACGATCGAGTTTCTTCACTAATAAGTGGATTAACTGCGTCCAACTGTACAAATAAAACGTGAAGTAATCTTGGAAGGTGCAATTCGAAATCAGGTTTGGTCTCAATCGCCATGTCAACCATATACAACATTGCTAATTGTCCTGATGAAAAAACGGGACGTTTATGATGTTGAGGCATCGCATCTTCGATCTTAGAAAGATACATTCCACCGATTTTTAACTCCTCAACGTCGATATTCTCTTTTGGTTCCTTAGGTTGAGGGGTCATTGATTTTGGTGTTATCTCGTTGATTAAAGCTTTAATCACAGCAGAACTTGAGGCAGTACGTCCTAAATAAATGAACACTCTTTTTGCATGTAAGACAAATATAGGATTCCTTTTCTCCAATCCAACGTCAATCAAATATTTGACAATTGCGCGAACATTTCGATCATGTTCACCCATAACTAATTGTTGCCAAAGTTTTTCGATTTCCTTGACAAATAAATCTCCATATTTAACGGTAATGAAAAAGAGATTTGAAATCATTACAAATGTGGTCGTTTGTAACTCGCAATTTTCAAATAACAATTCGACATTACGAATCCAAGGTACCAAATAACAAAGCACGTCCTTTTTTACTTTGTCCGGTATAAACTCAAAACGGTTTGTAATTTCTGAAAGCATATAATGAGTTTCCTCATATAAATCTTTGAAACTCTTTGGCTTTAGATCATTAATCATTAGGTTACACTTTTCTTCGTCTCTTTTACGAGCCTTTTCTGCAAGGCGTGCTGATAAATGAATTTGCGCTTGCTTATAGATTGAAGATAACTGACTTGTGATGCCCACATCGAATTCATCAGAGCAGATCTCGCCAAAAAACCGGGTTTCTATGATCTTTAACAATCTAAGAGCATTCTGACGAATTTCTAACTCAGCATCTCCAACTTTAAAAAGAGCCAAAGACATCATTTGGCATGCTCTTTCACAGGGATATTCATTCTCCTTGAAAAAAATTTCTGCTACAGCGAGGAAATAACCTTGTGTACTTTTAAGTGCTGGATTCCCTGAATAACAATGACGGACTGCAATTTCAAGGAATTGTGGCACATGAGAATTTGATATTAATAAACCTTCAAGAGCTTTCCTATTTGTAAAATGAAAGATGATGGTTATCTATCATTATCCTATTTTTGTAATTAAAAAATATCTCTTCTACAACTAACCTGGCAATTGGGTGAAGTTTATCCTGAGGATTTTCAAAAACCGATTGAATCCATGCAAATACACTATCAGCATCAGGTAAAGATAATTGTGACTTTTTCATTACATTTTTGTCACTCATAACTAAAGGTCCTCTCTAGATTATAAACATTAAACATTAATGAATTTATTTATTACAAGGTATAATTCAAAATCATAAATAAAATTTTACATACACATAATGAAGCCATAGCATTCAAAGCTGCAAATTCCAAAGACTTACGTTCACCTTCCTTTGCTATTGGACGCCTATCTTCAGCATCCTTATATTGATCCATAAAATTTGTTACTCTATATTGTAATCCTCTTACACCATGACCACACCATTCCTCAATCATTAAGTAAAGTGAAGTTCGCATTTCAGAAGACATTATTTCATTATAGACTTTTGCTAATGATATGCCATCATACAATTTTTCAACAACTCCACAAAAATACATTCGAAGTTTATTCCATTCCCACCAATCCAAACTAATCTCAGAATCTTTAAGAAAAAGATACGTTTCATTAATAAAATTCATTATCCAATTTACAATTGTTTCATCACGTATATATTTCTCTTTAATAAGAAAATGAGCGGTGAGCTGATATACATGAGCTAACTCAGAACGCATTTTATCATTCCTTCGAGCTTTTTTATGAGCATTAGATGATTGCTTATTTGCTTTAAACTTATAATCCTCACAAACATGCCTAAAATATGGTTGCATGTCTTCAAGTAACACTTTATATACATTTTCATTAATATTACCTAAAGATGTTACTACAGCATTACTGATTTTACTTTCTGAAGCTAATAAAGGTAAAACCATTTTAAAAAGTGTCCTAGCAGACATTGTGCGTTCTGAAGATGATTCGGAACGATTTCGTCTATTTGTTCGAATTCGATCTACATAATTATCTGTTATAATTGAACAAGCAACTAATAAATAAAATTTCCACTGTTCTATAATGTCATCTGTTGCTGCTATAACTGGTATTTTATGAAATTTGGCCATAGATAAAGGTGCAACTGGAGCACGTATTGCATCTGAAGCGCTGTTAATGGAATTCTGCATTTGCAATAAACGAGCACATACATTGTTTCGACATAAAGCTACAGTAACAGGAAAGTACTCAAAGCATATTTTCATAAAATCTGGAAAACATCTCAACCATATCCTATTTTCATTGGTATCATCACTTTCAATTAATCGTAATAAAATATCCCTTTTTCCTTCTTGCTGATGTTTTTGAAGCAAAACATGTTCAATAATTGATAAAGAATTTTGTAAATCGGTATCAAAGGTAATTAAATGTCCACCACCACGAGTAAGAACGTGAATTACTCGTGTATACAATTGATCATTGTCTTTGCTATTAGCAGAATAAAATAATTTTATCGAAGCACAATTAATAAGTCCATGTTCATCAAGATTATTATTGCATATAATTTGACCCTCATCATCTACTCCTGAAATACCCGATGATTTACTTTCGCTACTCGAAGTAGTATTTCGACGTGCACGTCTAAAATTCTTTTTTTCATTCCGCTCGTCAAATTCTCGTTCAAGATCAGCAACAAGATGAAGAATATTAATCGCATACTTTCGAATAAGACATGAAGTACTGCAAAGGAAAAATAATCCATTTGCTTCAGCTTCCTCAATGATTGTCCATATACTAGGATCTTCAACCCCATTAGATATTTTTGGTGATGTAGGATTTGAACAATCTGATGTATCATTTGGATTGTTCTGCTGTAATTGCATTAACCAAATTTGAAGCAGATCAAGATATAATCGCAATACACCTCCATATCTATGTCCATTTCCTGAATGATCCCCAATAAGAATATCAGAATATTTATCATCAATTCTATATACAATGTGTGAGAAAGCCATGACTACTGTAGCAGCTCCACATTGATTTGCGATTCTTCGTAAAGCTAAAGCTGCGGAAAAAGCAAGATTTGAATCTAGATGAACTGTATATTTACACAACATCTCTACCAATCTGTAATTTGCTGTCCTATTTGGTAACAATCGTGGAAGTGAATCAACATATTCTCTTAACAAATTCAAATATGGTTGTTTGTCCTTTGATAAGGAAAAGTTCATTTGATTATAAATTCCTGCATTTGAATCTGAATTGTTTATGACGATAGCTAGAGCAGGAGGACGATTAGGTTTATCATCCAGAACAGGTGTAGATCCAAAGGATGTATCTAATATCAAAGCAATTTTATGAGCTGTCTCACAAAATTTGTCAAAATGTTCTTTTAATCCGGCACGATTAAATATTTCATCTGGAAGGACTTCTGAAATAATTTTAACACCAATGCAATTTTTGGGTGATAATAAATCAGTATTGCTAGGAAATGGTGGCTTTGATTCAGAAAATTGTATATTCGATAATAACAACATAAAAGATCGTATTCCAATTCGCATCCTATCCGGCATTATATAATCAATTGATGGTTTAGATGATGATGCTAAAATGTCAGAGTTTATCAACATGAAAATAAGGTTTTTCATGCAAAAGTCATAATGTTTCAATCCAATAAATAGAACAAATTGTACATGTAAATCCAAATTAGAATCAGAAGGTACAATAGATCTTCGACCTGAAGGGAAAATCACTTTGATTATCTCTTCTAGCCTTTTATATGTAGATGTGGTTCCTTCGTAACATCGATACAAATATGTCCATAAAAGTCGAATTACACAACCCATAGCCATCTGCCGCAAGGCTTTATCCTATAGAAATATCGTTAAAATATAAAATATATATGGATTCGAACCGAAAATAGTTTTAAAAATAACCTTAAATCTGGTGTAACAACTACTTAAACAATCATTCAACCGGGTAAGAAAATAATCCCTCTGACTGACACATAATAGCGTAGTAGATAGCGGATACGCAACCTAAATCAATAAAAGAACATATTATTGCCATATAATATATTAAATAGTCTTTTTTTAAAATATATTTTTGTCCTCACTCTGTAATGAACGTGTTTGAGGGTCATTTTCCATGCTTTAGGAAACATCATCTCTACAGCTCTAACCCAAGCTGGAACATTTACTTCTGATTCTGCAATCTAATCAAAAAAAAAAAAATTTATAAAAAAATAATAATAATAATAATCATGTCCGTATTATGACTTACCCCTGCAATAGGCATTAATAATCGAACAAATAATTCAGAATACGCATGTTTTATTCTTACACCATGTGCTGATTTTAGAAATCCGGCCAGACTCTGTAAAAATTCCGCTGTTTCCTCCAATGCTTCACTTGGATATATCTATTTAATATTTAATTTAATTGATAACAACCCTTGTAAAAATATCGTGAAGTGAAATAAGAAAAATCTTCCTACTTTTAATTGTAAATGATGCATTCCTTTGATTAATAATTCCACTTTTGTTTCTTGTTCTTTGAACGCATGTGGAGGTAAGTTCACATAACTTTCCAACCTTGCTATAAATCTATCAGATACGGTCACGAAACGTATCTTTGATAATCCACCTATAAGTTCTGCAAATAATTCATAAACAGCATACGTATGTCTCGACCTTTGTATATCCTCTCTGCAATGAATTTAAATTAGAAAAAAATTAAAAATTTTAATAAATTTTCAGAAAGATCGTAAATGAATTATAAAGGCTAAAATTAGGAAGTTAAACGGTCCCAAAATGATTTTGAACAAATTTAAAAATAGAAAAGCCTAATCGCTTATCGATAATAAGTAACTCTTGTTAAAAAAATTGTTATAATAAATATTAGGAATAATTTTTAAAAGAAAATGAACTTTGAGATCGACAATTTTCATGGGACCACTAAGTTGGGACCCGATCATAAATTTCAAAAATTAAGATAATGGATTCCCGCATAAGTTAAGTATTTATTTTTAATAAATACATTATCGTTAGAAAGTAAAAATAACGCCAGTGAATTAAAAACCTTCTCTAGAACTGGCATATTTTTAGGACCATTTAGGACCGCTTAACATCCCTAGCTAAAATTATAGACTTACGGTTTAGTTTCTAAGATAAGTTTAAATACAAGGTCTTCCATTTGTTTACCCACTTCATCTCGAAGAGTCTCGGGCTGTATTTGTTTCACTATTTCGATAAGAGTACGAGATACTATATATAAGGTAACTTGCTATTATTATTCAAAAGAAAACGAAATTAGGTCAAGCAAACTTTATAATATCATAATAAACAAATTAAATACCCTTTTTCGTTCAAGAAGAATGTTTTCAATTTCTTTATTTCGATTTATTAATGCGGTATCACTCCTAAGACGTCAAAATTATAATTAATATGCAATTTCAAAGCAAAAGTATATTATAGAATCACTTACAAATTACGTTTATGCGAAGGCGCGTCCGGAATATCTTGTTTTGATTCTTGTTTTTCTTTTCTCCAATACAATACCGAGTCGATTACCGGTTTCGGTTTATGCCTTGCTATATATCCCAAAGAATTTAATAGTTTATCAAAAGATTGATCAACGCCGGGACCTAAATGGCTAGCAAACTCTAGCTCGTGATCCTGGATGAAAAATCGATTTAATAAACTTTATATAAGGTGAATTAAGAATATATTATATAAATTCATACCACACTATGATTCATTATAATAGATAATTTCTTTTCGGCAACTTTTGCAAACTGTCTGAACAAAATGCTCAGAGCATATTCTGCTGGTGTTTTTGACTCCAGCTGCAACGACGGTTGAATATCTACAATCGTATTATCAACAGTCGGACACAATGGAGCAACTATAACAGTATTATCCTTAGAAGTGCCATGATCCGAGCCGGCAGCAGCATTAGCAGAGATATTATAGTAATAATTCTGACCGTTAATGTTGAATGACGAAGAATATGGAGTTAACGTCAGCCCGCCTAGCCCGCCTTCGGAAGTTAACGAAGACTTTTGGTCAGTCGCTGGTGGAAAACCTATATTATTTGAACTATCAGTACATTTTTCCGATGGAAAGACAACCGGAAAGCTAAATCCTGTGGAAGTTTCTGCATCACTTGTATCATTTGGGGCTAAGGCTTGAGAAGAATTTGACATAATAATGTATGGATTTACGCCTTTTTTAAAAAAATAATTATATTTTGTACAAGGCGGATTTTTAAATAGTTGTTCTGATCAATTATGTTCACCGGAAGCCGATAGAAACCGCCAAAGAATTATTGATATTGTCTAAAAGGGTTAAAAAATAGGCGAGATATATAAAGTCATTCAAATATATTATATAATGCTTTAATGCTTACCATTTTAGATTGCACATGACCTGCACCAGATGGGTAATTTTTGCCGCGGATTGACGAGTGTTTGTGTGGATTTTTAAATATTATTAATAAATGTTATAATTTAAAATACTTAAACAATAATTATTCAATACAAGATATTATAATATTATTATATAAAGATCTTTAGTCAACTTATCTTTCATTATTTCATCATATAAATCATATGGAAGGTTTGCTAGAAAAATGGGGTTCTGAAAAATTTTAATAAAAAATGCTCAGAGCTCCATTTTCCTAGTATCATTTCATAATATAATATTATATGCTCTATTGAAATTAATCATTTATATTGCATAATAATAATTTCATATTATTATTAACATTATGTTTTAAGTACATCTAATCTATACTTATTAAAAATTTAGCATACAGTAAGACCTCTCTAAATGCATCCTCATGCATATATATTTTTTCTATAAATGCACATTTCACACAGCCCCAAGTATATAAAGATCATACAAAATTTCTCTCTTTAAATGCACACCCTTCTTAAATGCACATTTTTTCAAACTTTCACTATAATCCCGTGTATTTAGAGAGGTCTCACTATATATTCAAAATTTATTTAATTTTTCAATGTTTATTATTGAAAATTAAACCTATTTTATGTAATTTATACTATACTTTTTCAGAAAATATTACATTTGAATTAGCTTAACTATTTAAAAAGTTAAAAATTGGATAAATTATTAATAGTTAGTCAAATTCTGACTAATTTACAGGGGTATTTACAGGGGGCAAATTAAGTAAATTAACCAATAAAATTCAAGTATTTTATCTTGTGATAACAATTAGTCATTTTAAACATAATTACAATAAATTTTTTTTTTCAAAAAAAAATGCCGTCTCTTTCTAACAAAAAAAATTATCAAATAAAATAAAACTATAAAAATAATAAGTTTGATTTGTATAATAATAAAATTATTAAATAAAAATAAAGATTAGAATAATAATAATAATAGCAGATGTGATGATTTAAAGAATATAAAAAGTTAAAAGGGATTTATTTAGTATGAAGAAATAATAATAAATTAGAAAAATAAAGTGAGAACGATATAAATAAGCAAAATACTATAATTAACTTACTATGATAAATATAATCCAAATGATTTGTTAACTAAAATAGCAGTTAATACAAAAAAATTATAAAATTTTTTAAATAAGTGATAATTAAACAAATAATTTACAATTATCTAATTCTAATATATTAAAAAATACTTTAAGTGATTCTGAAAGTAAAATTATAAACCTATTTATTTATTAATTAGCTGAAATAATAAATAATTTAAAAGAAGAGTTTAAAAAACAACAAATTCAATTAATTAAAATAATATTTAAATATTTTAATTAAGATTATTAGATAAAATTTAAAGTTTAAATAAGCATCTAAATAATAAAGGTAAAGCTTGATTAAATTATATTAAAACCTTATTAAAAATACTGTAAAATTCAGAAAAGTTAAAACTATATTAAAGCTTATAAAAATGGTAAAATTATATCAAATACTTAATAAAAATTTTGCGAAATTAAAGGTTTAAATGTTTTGTCAAATCAAACATAAGTTTTGATAAGCAATTTTAAATAAAACTAACTCAATTTTTATTTAATTATTATATTTAAATATTTGTTAAAAAGAGAATAAAATTGTAGATAATATATTATATTAATATAGAAGCTTTGTAATAGAAAGTGAGAAAATTTTAAAAAAATTTTTTTGAGTTAATGTTAAATCTGAACTTATTTTACTAAAAAAATCATAATTAGCTTAGAAAATAAATTTTGAGTTTCCTCACTTTTTACTGTAAAGCTTCTATATATAAAATTAGTGATATCTTACGAAATTACCTTTCTTAATATGACGAAATTGACAAAACTGAAATGATGAAACTAGTTTTTTATTAATGATGAAATTATTTTACTTAATTGCTGAAATTATATTTAACTTGATCTAAA